GATCAATGGATTTTGAGTATCTTGCGTAGACAGCTATTTATAAATACTTGTACTTTCTTGATAGTGGTTGTTGTAATTCTCCAAGTTTCAGCTCCATACAGTAGGACTGCCTTGACGTCCGTATTGAAGATTCTGACTATGATATTGGTTGACAGTTGTTTTGAGTTCCATATGTTCTTTAATTGTAAGAATGCTGTCCTTGCTTTGCCAATCGTTGCCTTTACGTCTGCATCTGAGCCTCCTTGTTCATCGGTGATGCTTCCTAGGTATGTGAAGGACTCTACATTTTCCAGAGTTTCGCCATCAAGAGTGATTGGATTGTTGTTTTCCGCTTTGAATTTGAGGACTTTGATTTTCCCTTTGTGTATGTTGAGGCCTACTGATGCAGAGACTGCTGCTACACTGGCTATCTTCATCTGCATCTGTTCGTGTGAACGTGATAGGAGTGCTGTGTGTGTGCAAGTTCAGGTATAAAGAAATGTGACCTTGATGGTGAGAAAGGATAGAGTTTAAGTTGAATGTACGATAATAGTGTGAAATGTGAATAATATCAGACATGATAGCTAAGGTAGATGGTCCAAGTCGAATGCATAGTGAGGTCTTTTTTTCTATTGAGAACAGTAGGATTAAACATTATATGGAAAGATTCAGCTACTCTCCTTTCTTTGTGATTGGAAAAACCTTTTTTGTGATATTTTGATGGTTTTGAAATCGAATTGGTGATTGTTGAAAATGGCATGAACTGCAATCGCCGATTTAATTTGAAGTCTATCCAGTTCCACGAGATTATTAGGTGGTATATTTGTGTATGAGATACCTTAACTCCGCCTGGAGCCCCTCCCGTGGGCTACTGCCGGTCGCAAGCCCGGATAAGGTAGGAGGGTTGGGCAAAGGGTTAGCGATCCCATCCCACAGAAAAATGACTCGCTAAAAAACACTAACCATAAGATCCCTCAGCAAGGCGCAACCACGACACCTCACGCAGAACTTAAACTTAAGATCACTAGGCTGCTACCCGGCCGTGTTAGCTTCTACCAATCCAAGATAGTAAAACTTAACAATCTCCGCAAATATACGCTGGTTTGATTGTAATTTATCTTAAAATAACTCCAGTTATAAATATGCATCTTGACTAAGGAGTTCAAAATAATAGCGTTTGGAAAAAGTGCTTGAGGGATATAAGTTTTCTTCAGTGATTGGTTGTATGTATAAATTTCAAAGAAATTTCAAAATGTGACTCAATAACTGCATAATACTATCTGGTACCGGCACTTTGAGATCCAACCTGTATGCAAATCAAACTAATCACCAAAAGCCACTGATTTTAAAAAAAAGTCAGAATTATTTCACAATGGGAAACAGATTCGTTTAATATTTAAATAATTTGATTTTAAAGTAGAAACATTAAAATTTTTATTTTACAAACATTTGGCAGCTAAATCCGTCTCAAAGGCTCCACATGGAGCTACTGAATAGTGAGGGCAATCTTACTAGCTAATTTAGGCGGTTGGGAAGGTTGGACTAATCCATCACTTTGTTGTAAACCAGATTAACTGGATCCCATTTTCAGGGCTCTTTAAAATCTTGTGAGCTGCCCTTTATGTATGCTTGTGTGGTTTATGTATGTAGGTATGTGCGAAGAGTACACACCGGGCTCGTTAAAGGAACGTAAGCTGAAACGTCTGTCCTATGTATGATAAAATCAGTGGCCTAATACTTTAGATCAAAGACATAATATGAAAATATGGTAGCAAACACTAAGGAGAGGTGATCACCAACCCTTCCTGAGATTGTTTATGCTTATGTGTGTCTTGAAGTGCAGGGGGCTAAAGCCTTTGTATCAGTGATATGCAAGTAATCCACAAGTGACAGTCAGCTGCGGTATATATGGTGACCATCTACCCTCTTAAATGTGTGAATATACCTATACGTATACTATGGGAAAGTTGTGTTACCGGTGCGTATGTAGATCATCACTTGCACTTAGTACAACACTCGTCCGCTAACACCTGGGTGGGCGCAACGACTTCCACACTCAGTCACATCCATGTGGTGAGTTTGTGAACCTTATAAAAATGAAACTATTCCTAGTAAAACCAATCAGCTTCACTGAATAAGGCTTGACTAACATTAACACAGCTGTGACGTCATACAAACATTTATATTTCAAAGTCATTCGAATAAGTACATCATTAAAAAAATAATAAATTTATCAGTTCTCTGCTTCTCATTTTGATTTCTGTAAAACAATAGAGTAACTAATAAATTCACTTGGTATTGTTTACTTGAATTTAGGACTTAAATTATTCAGTCTCTTATTGGTGTATGCACATCCTGTGCTTATTGCCTCGATATGGCCTTTATTCACAAGCACTATAAGCTAAGATGGATAGTGGATAACAATGGAATCCAGTTTAAGGCACCTTTCATCCTATTTAGGACTCATGAGCTGGATATACCTACATCGCAGAGTTGATGTTCATTATGTGACTCGAACCCAGTACCGTTCGCTTCAAACACCATCGCGTTATCCAACTAGCTATTAAGTCCTGATAGCCATCTGCTTGTGCAATGAGGTAAAGTTATATTCAATTGGTGTTGTTTACTTGTATCTTTCTCGAGTGAACACCAACTTTGAAATGCAGGTACATCCAGCTGATGAGTCCCAAATAGGACGAAATGTGCGTCAAACTGGATTCTACTACTAGCCACTATCCATCTTTGAATATCTGTACTGTTTATATTGGTATTTACTGACATAACTTGATAACGAGGGAAAGTTGCAAACTCCATCAGGAAAATAAACACAACTTTTAGTAGTATAAACAGTTAAAAATCTGATTTTATTGGTTAAATAGTTATAAATTTTAATAATGTTACCGAATTTATTCAATGTTCCAATCAACTGAAATCAAAAAGAAGACGTGTGAAGAAGTTTAATCAGTTGGCTAGTAGTGTGAACAATGAATTGATAGAAGTTTTTCATTCGTCCATTAGTAGAGTAGACTAGTTCCAAGTAAAAAAATATCTGATGCACATAGATTATACCTATCAATTACCACACATCCTATTTAATAGTCAGTCAGCTATATCATAGGATCAGGCAAATATATGCATCGATCGTAGTTGCTATACTTCATTAGCACAACAAGATAAACACCGAATTCATAGAAGTAGTCACTTCTATGGTAGTAATATATAAAAGAATATAGTACAGGGAGAAAGAAAGATATGAAGCAATTTTAATCTCACGGTTTAAGGGAAGACAGTGGGTGTATACAACTACACCACTGTAATCGATTTTGAGTCGTGTAACCCAGGGTCTCCAACCAGAATTGATGCAGGTATATCCAGCTGATAATTCCCGAATAGGACGAAACGCGCTTTGTCCCGGATTCCACTACTATTCAATATTCATCTTTGCTTATAAAGTAACCAATAGTTTCTTAAATACTTAACCAAATGATAATTCTATGAAATTGTAAATGTTTTCCTTATTAATTAACATTATTATAATAATATTTAGTTTTTCATATATGTTCCATAAATGATGAGAACTAAAAAAAAGGTAAAGATAAATGTAGAAATGAACTAAATATGAAAAATAATAATCATGATGACCTTTCGAAAAACGTTTTTTAAAAATTATCCTATTGTGGTCATGGCTACCGTATTGATGTAAACAATTTATTTATTTATTCGGTAACTATAGTTACTAAGTGCTGTGATAAGGGGTATTTGAAGCATAAATGATTGAAAAAGAGTTAATTAAATCCCTTTTAATTTATAAACTTACATACACATTTGATATAACATTAAATCAAATAACTAAAATATTAATGATTGAACTGAACAGGTACAATTCAGTGTCCGTAGGTATGGTATGTGCTTTGCACCTTCGAAGTGCAAAGTACTTCTACATGACCGGTGGGATTCTAATCCTGTACTCACCCTGGATGGTGAGCAGATAGAAGTAGTCGAGAAGTTCGTGTATCTAGGTAGCTGCATAAGTGCTGGTGGTGGCATCAGTGATGAGATCAATGCACGTATAGTGAAAGCTAGAGCGGCTTATGCCAATCTGGGCCACCTTTGGCGCCTTCGTGATGTTAGTCTGGCTGTAAAAGGTCGGATCTACAACGCGACAGTGAGATCAGTTTTGCTCTATGCTTGTGAAACCTGGCCTCTCCGAGTTGAGGGTGTTAGACGACTCTCTGTGTTCGATCATCGCTGTCTCCAAAGGATTGCTGACACTCAGTGGCAACACTATGTCAGTAATGCAGAGGTTCGGCATCGTGTTATCGGGCACAGAGATGATAATTCAATTGGTGTCACCATGTTGAAACACCGACTTCGGTGGCTTGGACATGTTCTACGAATGTCGTCCCAGATAATTCCACGTCGTGCATTATTTGCCGACTCTGGGACTGGTTGGAAGAAGCGGAGAGGTGGTCAGTGCATGACATGGTGTCGTGGTATGAAAGAAAGCTGCAAAGGAATGGCTGCTGTTGGTCCTTCACGACTCCCTGGTTGGGGTCCGAGAGTTGGTTCTACAGAGTGGCTAGAGACATTATCAGATATGGCTCAGAATAGAAGCCAGTGGTGATCCTGTTGTAACTTTCTTTTACTTTCTTCACAAAAAGTGGTTGTATCTTCCTTAACTGAAAGCTTTCTTCTGATTGTACCTTTTCGTTTCCTTCATTATCATTATTACACTACCTTACACTAATATATTCGTTATTTTTTTCTCTTCTAATTCTCAGTGATTTGTGTGGCGCATATATATTTGGTCCCCTTTTGTACCAATATTTATGTGTTCAAATAAATAAATAAATAAACAATTCACCATGGTAGCGCTAAGAATAAACTTGGTAATATCATAACATAGATCTTCAAATATGAAATAATGTTGAGTTGATAAAGTATATTTGCGAAAAAAAGAGTTGAAAGTAAGTAACGGTACAAACTGTACTTCATAATTTTAGATAAATTCTAAGCTGACTTTAATTACTGTTTAATAATGAATGATTGATAACTGAAAATTAATGAAAAAGCATTTGTTGTAGTAAGTCACTAAATGGAAAGAATTGGAAAGGATTGTCCAGGACAAATTTGAATGAAGAGTGATCTTGGGTGGGCTATGCTCCTCTATGAGGGGTGGTAGGCGTTAGTAAGTAAGTACTGCCCAGTTTAGACATAATTGTTTTTTTTTAATTATTTGTGCATTAAGGTCATGCTAGTCATCTATATTGTTCATGTATTTTTTTACATTGATCTGAATTGGAAACTAAGGATATATCGAGTGGTATTCAAGTTGACTAGTTTTCTCTCTGTCTGTCTTACTTGTCAAACAATCAGGTGATAGAATAGTTTTCCTCTCTCTACCCAAAGTACTTAGTTTCCATTCGGACTAATTCACTCCTAGTCTTAAGGTTGAACCAACTAGCCTAGATCGAGGCAAATTCTCTACTGTATTACTGCGTAGATAGATCAAAGATCTAACTATATATGTAGGATCGTGGGGCCCATGTGTACCATTGGTTTGAAATCAGGGTTTTCAAACTC